CTACTGTTCTTTTCATATAAATCCCATAAATCTATTGGGTCTTTAGTCCATGTACTGCTGACTTTTTAATTAACTTACATTACCATATGTAAAACAGACAGCGAATGGGAATCTGCTGTGTGTCTCAGGGAACTCAAAGAGGGGCTCTGTAACCACCTAGAGGGGTGGGATGGGAGGCAGGTTCAGGAGCGAGGGAACACATGTATCCCTATGACTGATTCACGTCAACGTTTGACAGAAAATAACAATTCTGTAAAGCAATTACCCTTCAAATAAAAAGTATAAATTTTTAAAAAATTTTAAATAATAACAAAAATTTTAAAAAGAATTTTAAAGGAACTCCCTGGCAGTCCAGTTGTTAGAATTCTGTGCTCTCACTGCCAAGGGCCCACATTCAAACCCTGACTGGGGAACTAAGATCCCACAAGCCACATGCCATGGCCAAAAGTAAAATAAAATAAGGTTTTTAAAAAAGAATTTTAAGCAAGAGCACCAATATTCACATTATCAAAAAGAGGTAATGACACTGCTAGGAATGAGTAGGAAAGGGACCTATTTATCCAGAACAACAACATAAATAATCATTCTTTCTCACGTTACATCAGTCGTGTTGACAGAGGTGCCACAGCTTGGGAAAGCTCTGAATACTGCTGTTTCCTGCAGACATCTCACACACAAGGTGGTAGGAACTGGGCAGCAGAGATGCTCCTTCTGCACAGTTTTGAGCTAACTCTCCTCAGCTAGATTCTGAGATACCATCTAAGCCTCAAGCGCATTTGTGCATTTCATAAAAAAGGCTGATTTGAATTGATGCTTTTGAATTGTGGTGCTGGAGAAAAGACTCTTGAGAGTCCCTTGGACTGAGAGGAGATCAAACCAGTCAATTCTAAAGGAAATCAACCCTGAATATTCATTGGTAGGACTGTTGCTGAAAATGAAGCCCCAATACTTTGGCCACCTGTTGCAAAGAGCCAATTCACTGGAAAAGATCTGACTCACTGGAAAAGATTCTAATGCTGGGAAAGATTGAAGGCAAAATGAGAAGAGAGCATCAGAGGAAGAGAAGGGTTAGAGAGCATCACTAACTCAGTGGACATGAATTTGGGCAAACTCTGGGAGATAGCACTGGACAGAGGAGCCTGGCTTGCTACAGTCCATGGGATCGCCAAGAGTCAGACAAGACTTAGTGGACGAACAAGAACAACAAACTTCATAAACAATTTTTTTTTAATGTTTAGCCAGGATGTTTATTTTCTTAACGTGAGACTCAGAGGTGGGACAATTATATAAAATCAACCTTGGGCACAAACTTGAAGCAAAAACCAAGCTGAAATTCAGCAAGGATTGACTGTCTGCCCACCCTCACTTAACTCAAAAGCAAATACGATTTACAGTCTGCAAAGGTTCCTGAGAAGCAGGTTTATTTCTAGACTGACCGACATAAGCTCCTCGGTCTAGCACATGGTAACACTTAAATGATTACTGAGTGGTTAACTAGTGATAAACAAGTTTCAGAAGGGTTTAGTTATAGTAATAAGTAACTCACACTAGTCTCTAAGGATGAATATATGAAGACACATCATAACCTTTTACACTGAGAACTAACACTAAGCTGCCACACCACTTGCGTGGCGTATCTTCTGCTACGGCAGAGAGGAAATAGAGCCCTTAGATGGCAGGCTTGGAATGTGAAGTCAGACAGAACTGGGCTTGCATTGCAATTCCTCCTCTTATAAGTAGTGTGACCTTACCACCTATAAAATGGATAACTTCTCCCTCACAGTATACAACACATGAGACGATGTGTATATAAAGCACTCTGAACACAGCAAGAGCTCCACCGGCGCAACAGAAGGAGCTTATTTCCCAAACTGCCTCCCAGTCCCTGAACCAGTCCTCACGGGCTATACTCCTACAACGGTAAACAGCCGACAGTCAACGAAACTTCCACGAAGAAAGACTATTCAGTTCTCTCAGAATACAGTCGGGGCACAAGAATTACTTAAAGAAGTAATTAAAATTACTCAGAAGACCTTTAAGTCACTCAGAACTAGAGTAAGTCAACTATTAACAGCGATACCTCTAATTATAACCAAAGCAAGTGGGCGGCCTGAGTACCACCAAAGGAATGTGCTCAATCTGGTCAACACCCCTAATCCCACAAGGCCCAACCCTGCTAAAGCTCTAGCTTCCTCTTTGCCTTCAAGTCTGTCAACAGTGTAAAGAATCAAAATGGTGGTGACCTAAATGGGAAGGGAAGCCAAGAAAGAAGATATACATACATTTACATACATATGGCTGATTCACTTTGCTGTGCAGTAGACACTGACACAGCGTTATAAAGCAACTATACTCCAATCACTCAATCAATAAAAAATAAAATTTTTTAAGAATCGAAATAAAGAAAAGGTTACATTTACAAAATCCTCTCCTCTGAACACAACCTAGAATTATTTCTCTTGTTAGGAAAAAGCAAACAAACAAAACACTGTAACATTTTAGGTCCTTTGTCTATACCTTTGGCATGATACTTCAAATATGAACAACATTGCAAGGTCTTGAAAAAATGTCAACTACACATCCCCAAAGGCAAAAAAAACAGGTTCATTCGATCCATGACATAGCAACAGGATTCTTCTATCTCTGCAAAATAAAGCCAATCTTTAAGACATATAAAGCCTCAAATCCTAAATGTTTAATAATATGATACATAATTATTATAAGATTAGTGCATGTATGTGTCTGTGTGTTAGTCGCTCAGTTGTACCCAACTCTTTGCAACCCCATGGACTATATAGCCTGCCAGGCTCCTCTGTCCATCGAATTCTCCAAGCAAGAATACAGGAATGGGCTGCCAATCCCTTCTCCAGGGGATCTTCCCAACCCAAGAATCGAACCTGGGTCTCCTGCATTACAGGCAGATTCTTTACCAACTGAGCCACCAGGGAAGCCCCCTATAAGATTAGAAGGAAGACTATAGTTCATTATAAGTGATTTACAGAATATAAGAATAAGCAATATTTTTCTTAAAATGTTTAAGAATTATGAAGATCAATGTACTCATTACTCAATAATCCTTAAGCCAAATTCTGTACTCAAGAACATCAAGCATTTCATTAAATTTGAGGCAATATATATTTGCTTATAAATCTTTTTTTTTCTTTTTTTTAAATAGGCTAATTACATCATATAAATCTTTTAAAAAGTAACCATAATACCCAAAAGAACCAGAAAGGGGAGAGAAAAAAATTCTAGCTGAACCACCCATGCAAAACAGGCTTCAAACAATGTAGTAAACGCATTTATTAAAGGCACAGATATTGGCCCCAGGTCTCCAACTGCAAAAAAAAAACCACAAACTACACAATAGATGTTCCACTGGCCAACTAGGCCTTCCACCCCAATCTACAGGAAAGACATGCTATCTAGGGCCATGCCAAACACCAGAATATAGCTAAGTGTAAGCCAAAGTATGCGGTCCCAGCTACACTTCACTGAGCTGTGATCCCACCAAGCTTCTTCCTCTGCTAGTACATTTACTTTTGGTCATCCCAGAGAAGCACATGTAGGACTGAAGACGGAAACTGGGACCAGTATTAGGCAATTTAAAACGTTTATCAAAACTGTGATTTATCCTAAACAGACACACAGACACAAAATGACCTTAGTTCAAGCTCATGTATTATATCAGTGTTTCTAGTATCAGAAAAGGGGAGGGGAGGGTGCACTCAAGTGTTTCCAATAATTGGAAACAAGTTATATAAATTAAGGAAAATCCAAATAAGAGAATTATATATGGTTATATATCCCATAGAGAAGCTCTTGGAATACTAATTCATAAGTAAATAATAGCAAAGTACAGGCAGCTGTATAGTATGTTCCCTTCTGTTAAGGAAGGGCAGGGTGTGAGAAATATATAGGTTCTTATTTACCTAAAAAATCAGGATACAAAAGAAACTAGAAATCCCAGGAAATTAGAAACTACTCAAGATAAGGGGAACCGAGGATAACAGAGGTAGGGAGTTGTTACCCACTTAGGCCTCTTGAATTTTGTACCATGTGGATGTTTTAACTGACTCAAAATGTTTTTGTATTTAAGAATCATTAATTTTTTTTAAGCTTTCTAGAAGTTTCTTTGTTGTTGTTTAGTCATTAAGTCGCATCTAACTCTGCGACCCCATGGACTGTAGCCTGCCACGCCCCTCTGTCCAAGGGATTTTCCAGGCAAGAATACTGGAGTGAATTGCCATTTCCTTCTCCAGGGGTTAGACTCTTTACTCTTTTGTAAAAATTGCAGGAAAAGAGAATAACAATACCTACTTCGTAGGGTTACCATGATGAGAAGTGAGATCTTTCATGTAAAGTGATCCCCACAATTTCTGGCCTACTTTACAAACCATTTACCACATGGTTCAGTTCCCACTTGCCCTTTACTCTTTGAGCCTCCTATGGGGTTCCACACAAAGCAGTCTCTGCGCAACTGCTTGCAAAATAAATGGAGGAGTCCACAGAAAAAATATGGCCACCAACTAGCATGCTGCAAAGGTTTATATTTCAGGGAGTCGGCATCTTCATACTTACAGGGATGCTCCAGACCTGCATTCCATCACTGTAGCCAATCATAATCAGCAAAGGCGGCTCATTCCCTGTGCTATGAATTTCATGAAACTCCAGATTTCTTGATGTATCTGCATTAGAATTAAATAACAGAAAAGGAAATTTTTTTTTTAATCAACAAAAACGGCTCTCCTTTAATGCTATTGGCATAATGACTGCTTCAATTATTTTTCAATAAAAAGTTCAGAAGTTTCGGGACTTCCCTGGTGGTCCAGTGGTTAACAATCTGCCCTGCAATGCTGGAGACATGGGTTCAATCCCTGGTCAGGGACCTAAGATCCCACACGCTGCAGGGTAATCAAGCCTGAGCAGCACAACTACTAAGCCCAAACACCACAACTAGAGAGACCGACTCAATGAAAGGCCCCACAGGACGCAAGGAAGATCCCGGGTGTCACAACTAAGATCTGACCCAACCAAATAAATATCTTCTTTAAAAATTGAGAAGTTTTGGAAGACATTTAAAGGAAAGTGAACAGAAAGCTGAAATCACAAAACTAGTAGGTTTTTTTTGTTTGTCGTTGTTTTATTGCTAAGTCATTTCTCTTTTATGACCCCATGGACTATTGTATAGCCAGCCAGGATCCTCTGTCTATAGGATTTTCCAGGCAGGAATACTGGAGTGGACTGCCATTTCCTTCTCCAGGAGATCTTCCTGGATCAGAGGTAGAAGCAGCGTCTCCTGTATCGGCAGGCGGATTCTTTACCACTGAGCTATCAGGGAACAGTATCTATAATTATCAGCACGAGTAGGTTTTAAAAATCAAACTCTCTCAGGAGGGCACCAGTACCAAGTATCACTCCGTCACTCATGAAGAGCAGACCACAGAACCTGCGGGTGACAGAACTAGCCAGGGGAAGCACCGGCGGGGGTGCAGGACAGCAGGGCAGCCGCCTAGCAGAGGCAGGCAACGTAAGCTGTGTGGGCTCACAGGCGGTACCTGGACACTCCGAGAATCTACAGGCAGAGGATAAGGAAGAGCAAGATGCAAGACGGGGAGGAGTGGGGGAACTTGCCTGGAGGTCCAGTGGTTAAGATTCTGTGCTCTCAGTGCAGGGGGCGTGGGTTGGATCCCCGGTCAGGGAACCAAGATCCCACGTGCCACGTGGTAGGGCCAAAAAAAGATGAAGTAAAGGTCTCTGCAAAGAGCTAGAGGGCTTGTGTAAGTTGGCACAAGAAGCACTGTGCCGATATGATTACTCTTGTCATAAAATCATGCTACATTAAAAAAATTTTAAATTTTTTAAAATAAAAATCAAATTCTCACTAGATACCCAGGAAATACCAATATCAAGAACACAACCACCTATAAAGGCAAATCAAAGTAAAATATTTTACCAAAATTAACTAAATACAAATATGATGTATAACCATCTAGAATTCTAATATGTATAAATTTAGCAATGGAAGAAAAATTATGTTCCTTTACTTACAGGGGATAGTAAATCCTGGTACATCTGAACACACTGGACATACGGTCCACAATAAAAGAATTATGTGTACTTTTCTAATCAACTTTTCCAGTTCACATCAGTGAATATTAAGCATTTGTTATCAGTATTATACACTATATCCATACTGAACAAAACTATTACACCTCAAAACATCACTAATCAAGTCTTTTCTTCTCAGATCACAACCTTATCTTCCAGCAAGCGTGCTCAACTATTTGCTTTGTGATTCGCTCTCTGACTTCATTAGGACCTCCAACCCACTGAGACCCTGCCTTCTCCCTCCTCTTCAGGCCCCTCTTGTATACTTAAGTCTCCTCCAGCCTTGGCTGGTCTTTGATCAGCCATCTCAGTAACTTCTGCCAGTCATCCACATTCTCTTATCCCTTTGTGAGATCTCTGCATGGCACCCAACCAGCAAAACCTCAATTCGAGATGAAACCAACCAGTCCACCACCCTAGTATACTCCACAGCAACCAAGAATCACTAGAGAAAATCACACAATGAGACACAATTGTCACCACTATAAATTATCTCCACAAACCTCAACTGAGCCTTCAAAACTGCACAACAAATGTACTCAATTTTCTGAAACTTCTTTTACAATTTCAATGGCTTTCTTAAAGTGTTCTCCAAGCCCTGACTCCACCCAATCTCTCCTTACTCAGCAGATAATGTGTCTCATATACTACACAAGGAATCCAGAAACTTTCTGTTGCCAAAGACCTACATGCATCTGTACCACTCACTCTCTTCTCATTCCACTCTGTGACACACAATTGTCTTTCCTTTTGTCTAAAGTAAATCACTCTGCGAGGGGGGAGGGGAGGGTGGCATGAATTAGGAGATTAGGACTCTTTGCGACCCCACAGACTATACCTATACAGTCCGTGGAATTCTCCAGGCCAGAATCCTGGAGTAGGTAGCCTTTCCCTTCTCCAGGGGATCTTTCCAACCCCAGGATGGAAGCCAGGTCTCCCGCATTGCAAGCAGATCCTTTACCAGCTGAGCCACAAGCGAAGCCCATAAATACATGACCATGTGTAAAACAGCTAGTGGAAGCTGCAGTATACCACAGGGAGCTCAGCTGGGTGCTCCGTGATGACCTAGAAGGGTGGGTTGGTGGAGAGAGGGGGGGTGTGGGTGGGAAGTTCAAGAGGGAGGGGGTACGTGTCGACATATCGCTAATTCACTGCATTATACAGCAGAAACTAACGCAACACTGCAAAGCAATTATACTCCAATAACGTTTAAAGTGAGAAACCTCCAGTCTGAGGAGGGAGACAGATGTATAAGCGGATGGTTCTAAAACAACATGAAAAAGGCAACAATAAACGTAGGTGCTAGGGCAGAGGTGACTAACGTCATGGAGAGATGATGAAGTTGGAGTACCAAGAGAGACTTCACAGAGCCTCAATGACCTAGGGTTTTAAAAGATGAACAGAACTTTTCCAAACAAACAAAAATAATGTAAATCACTCTGCTTTGGATCCCATTCTCACTCATCTTCTCAGAGCTCTTTTTTTAATCCTTCCTTTCCTGTATCTCCCATTCCTTCCACGTACTGTATACTCCCAATGAGTATTTAAACATGGTAAAGTATCTCCAATCTTTTAAAATTTTTCAAATAAATCAATACCAGTGAATTTTAGATATAAATGGCAAAGCTAAAATCAACAAAACACTAGAGGAACACTGTAGAAATGTATTTTCATGATTATGGTACAGGGAAAAAACTTCACAACAGGACACAAAAAATTCCTAGTAAAAAAAACTAGCAAATTCTACTACATTAAATTTATTACATTAAAACGGAGAATTTCTGTTTCTCATGAGCCACCCTGACTGAGAAAGTGAAAAGTCAAGCCAGGGCCTGGGAGAAGAGACAATTATAACCCCACAAGGATTTGTCTAATTCACATACATACATACATATAGTTGCTAAGTCATGTACAAATTAAAAATCAGTATGAAAAAGGCAGGTCATTAGAAAAATAGGCAGAAGACATAAAAAAACACTTCAAAAGTAGGATATTCAAATCAATCATCAGTGAACATGAAAAGTGGCTCAACCTCATTTGTAATCAAGGAAGTGTTAATTAAAACCACAATGACAAAATCAAGAGTTGGCAGGATACGGAGTGAAGAGGCTGCTTATTTACTGCTAGTAAATATAAATCAGTATAACCACTTGGGAAAATAGACAATATATACTCAGGTTGAAGATCCCATGCCCTTTGACCAAGTAGTTCCACTCTAGGTATAAACTCACTAGAAGCCTCAGCACAGATACACCAAGAGACAAGAAACCTACCACAATATTACTGCAATCAACCCAATTACAGCTGAAATCAACCCAAAGTCCATCAAGAGGAGAAACGACAAGCACAGTGGTACGCATAATACAACACTACTCAGCACAAGAAAAAAATGACCTACTACCATATACCATAATATGGATGAACCTCACAGACATAATAAGCAAAAGAAGCCAGACACAAAAACCTATACACTGAACGATTCTCTTTATATGAAATTCAGAATCACTAGGCAATTAGGTAGCAACATTCTATTTTCTACCTTAGTTATGGCTCACAGATTTACAATGTGTAAAAATTCAGTGATCCATATTTTTGTGCTATTTATCATGATATATTTGCACAATAAATAAGGTGGGTTTGTTTTTATATTTTTGGCTGCTCCAGGCAGCATGTGCAAATCTTAGTTCCCTCAATGGGGATCAAACCTACAACCCCTGCAAAGGAATCTTGGAATCTTAACCCACCAGGGACCACCAGGGAAGTCCCTAAATAAGGTTTTTTTTTTAATCATAGATCTGTAACACCGCTCTCCCTTTATTTGACCTCCCCACTTCCTCCCTCTCCAGGAGCCGGGTGCCTTGTTTATAACTGCCATCTGTTTCTCATCTCTCGCTCACCCCCGTCTATTTCAGAACGTGTTTCTGCCCCAACACTCCTCGCAGGTGACTTTTACTATGGCCATCAGTAACCTCCAAGTTGTTGAGTCCAATGATTTTTTAAAGAACATCTTGTTAAGATTATTCAGCAGCTACAACCAATGCTCACCATATTCCCCGCTGGCTCATCCTTTTCTAACTTCTCTTGAAGTATCAGAGTTACTCAAAGCGAATTCCTAAACTCCCTTTTCTTCTTACAGTAACCCTCCCTAAGTGACCTTATTCCAACCATTGCTTAACTTACTCTCTGCTAGTGACTTCCTCAGTATGGGTTTTGAATGTCTCAACAGAAGATCAAATTCCACTTAAAATCAGGATTTCCTCCCCAAACATGATCTCCCAGAGCTTCCTATTTTGAGGAACAGCATGATTATCTATCCAGATAGCAAAATCAGGAACCGCCTTCTTCCTTCCCTCCAGCAATAAATCTATGAGCAAGCTTCCTAAATAGCTCTCTGCTTACACCACCACTACCTCTGTCTACAACATCTACTGCAAAAGCCTGCGTGGCTTTCTGCCTCCACCACTGTCCACCAAACTCTGTATTAGAGTCAGAGTAATCTTTTCAACATACACATAACGGGGAATTTCCTGGCAGTCCAGTAATTAGGATTTGGTACTCACTGCCATCGGCCCATGAT